AAAGATAGTATATGGTATCAAAGGGTATAGTAGGAGCTACTTTGGTCATCACGCCAAAAGACTCTATCCAGTTCAGGCCCAATGCATCTGGGGGCATTGAAAGAGGCTGTATACCTCTCTAGAAGGGCACCACCCTGGACAGGTGCTTATATGCCAATCTTGCTATAAAAGTCCGTAATTAAACTAGCCACCTTTTCAAATTGCAATTCAACATACTGAGCATCACCACTGAATATACTGCTTACCATCTTCACAACATGCTGCACAACGAATGTAGGCACTAGCCATTTATTGAGTACCAATTTAATGTAGATGCATGTATTTGTGTTTTACAAATAGGATATTAGGAGTCAGAATATCCTTGTGAAGTAGTACCCCCATTGTACAGGTGGAGAAACCAAGGCATTAAGATTGTGTCTCATTCTAAATTACATAGCTCTGTGCAGGGGGATGAAGCTAGTCTGGCTCTCACACACACTCACTCACCCAACCAGCTAAGGCTAATCCCACTCCAGCCAACTGCAAGAAAGAACTAAGAAACCAATAAAGGAAAAACATCTGCCATTCAGAATGCTCCCACTCAATGTCGACCTTTCATGGAGATAATAATGAGAATAATCAAGTGGTTGCTCCCCTTTCACTGGGAAATGATTGTGTTAGAAATAGGACTGTTGTGGAATGAGAAATATATTTGCTTAATTTAAACAAAAGTTACTGTTTTGTTGGAAAATTTGCACACTGAGAATTAATAATGCATTGATAAGTCATTCACTCACATTTTCAGATGCGGTATTTTCCATTCCTATTTCTTCACCATAATAAGTTGTAGGTGTCCCAGGAAGGGTTAAAAGGAGCATGTTTATGACATTTGTGTATTCTTTTCCAAACCGAGATGTAATTCGAACAGTGTTAGGGTCTCCAACCTAAACAAAAATAATTGATTATAGTAAAATACAAGAATAAAGGCCCATACTAAGACTAAATATGTCCATATGATATTGCCATAATACAAAAACTGTCAAGTTCTGTTTATTTACATCAATGTAAACATACAGTAATTTCATTTAAACTAATAAAATTCTGCTCCACAGAACAGGCCCAGCACCGATCAGAATCTGGCTCAATGTTTTCTTGTAAAATGGTGTGTGTTAAAAGCATGAGTAGCTAGTTGGCCAAGTTTCACATATATTTCCATTGTTTTGGCCAAGTATTTACATGCTTTATGGTAAGTGTTCAAAAGCATAACCATTTTATTATTGCTTTTCCCCTCCAAAGAGATATTGCTCTGTACAATATAACATTAGCAAACCTGTTGCATTATCATGCAGAAGGAAATCATCATATTCCAAAATATCCCTTTTATATAATGAAATAAAATGTTAATTATAAAACTGAGGGTGCATTGATATATTAAAGCATCCTTTGATCAATCACATCCATTTTGCGTTATCTTTTATATTTTCAAAGGTTTTCTACATTAAATCCTACAATGCAAAAGATTACATTTATTCTATTTCTTTCACTTTCATATCTTCAAGGGAATATAGTTGAGTATTTTGATATCAGTACAATCTTCTGCCTGACAACTGAAATCTGGAAATACTGCCAACAGCATGACAAACAGAAGTAAATAATGCTGATATATTAGCATCCCAGCCAACAATGTCTTCCATTCTAACACAAATACCCTGTGTTACAGTTCTCATGTCTTTGCTGACTACACCATTATTTTTTCTGCTGCAGGGTGCTGGTTTTATGAGTGTGGCATCCATCCATTTTAACCTAGGCAGTGGCAGCCTCTTAGCACTTTGGAACTATGGTGTTGCCACTCAACTAGAGGTTGGCATCCAAGGAGCAGGCATACTTGGGGGCAGCTTGGTTTGCAGTACACCTCAACATGTGGGAAAAGAGAGATGGTATAGCCACTTTATGCACAGTTAGGTAGAGTCCAATCCCTTATGTAGAAAGTGCATAGCGTCAAGGCCTCTATTCTAACCCAACAGTTAGAGTAGCAGACATGGAGGGAGTGTGACGCTGTTTCAAACTTGCCTGAAGGTTTGGAAGTGGATTCTGTCCCCTTTTCCCAAACTTCACATCATTTGTGGCACAAACCTTTTTGGCCAGAGAAAGATGAGTAGAATATTACCTTGAAAGTATAAAGCAGTGTGCCTGCTGATTTTGTTTATATTTAGGAAAAAATACTATCACACGCCTGTATCACACGGGACCACTGTGGCCATTGCTGTAGTGCATAATGGTAGATTCCAAAAGATACAACAGCTACAGTTATTTTGGGCTTGATATTACTCCAGTGAGAGCTTTGCTGTTATAGCAAGAACATGCCATTACATGTCTGAACTCTTACCGCCCAGTTAGGCCATTTTCCTTTGGGCATATTCTTCATCCACAAAGATACAATTTCAAAAATACTATTTCCTGAGAGGTTTTCCATGTTAATTAGATAGAAGTTGAAGGGGAAATTTGATTCTTGGATAAAAGACGTTCCATAATACATCATGGTTGCTTCAACATTTTGCAGATTATTGGCTTCTGTTCCCATAAACCTACAAGAGAGCAGACAAGTAAGTTCTTTGAAAAAAGAAAAGTGAAATTCAGAGGTTAATCAGAATTACATAGAATCAGAATGAACCTTGATATATCTAATAATTTAGCATTGTCTTTGAAAAGAATTTGCTTTTCTTTTTATATACATTATATATTTACGTAATTATTACTGGTCGGTATTCTTACGAAGCATTTTACCCCAACAAACCTGGGGTAATATCCACTGGTGAAATTGTGCCTTAAACATTAGAGGGAAAATATATATGGCTATGCTAATAAACTAAGTTACCTGTATTGGCCGGGCTCAATGCTGAATTTATCCATGGTCTGCCGGAAACTGCGGATGATGTCATGCATGCCGACTTGGGTGGTAGTGTAATCATGATACAGCTCAGAATATACTGAGATACTCTCCTTGAAGAAAAATGCAACAGTTTGAATTAGCCCTCCTATTGTTTATTGAATTACACTTTTCAGAGTTTTTCAAAGGACAGTGCACTACTTCAGATAATGTTTTACTTAGGTCTGATAGCAAACAGAGGGACATGATGATATTAATTACTATTTTTTCATGTTCACTGCGAATACGTCTACACAGCAACATTATTTTGAAATAACTTAGTCCACGTCTACACAGCAGGTAGTTATTTAAAAATAATGTTGAAATATTGTCAAGCTGGAGGACTTTTCTCCAACTCCTGTAACCCTCATTGTAAAAGGAGTAAGGGAAGTCAGAGGAAGAATTCTCTGTTTTGAAACAAGTGCTATGTAGATGTTCCCAATTTGGAAATAAGCTATTTCCAAATAAGGTACACAACTGATGAAGCTCAATTTGCATAGTTTATTTCGAATTAAGCCCTGCTGTGTAGATGCACCCTGAAACTGTGGTGCTGCAAAGAATACACAAGGTAGCCCAAACTTCTGGCCTTTCCCCTGCCCTGAAGTTGGCTTGACTACTGAGGGATTACAGGCCCCAAACCCCTGCTTTCTAGATACCAATTTTGATTAATGAGGCCCTGATTCTGCCACTTTTACCTAGATTTTTGCTCCCTGAGGATTTCAGTGGGACTGGTCACAAAATAGGGTACCACTCATTTTGAGTATCAACAGTAAGTATTGTGGCCCTATGGGGAATATAGGTTTTTTTCCGCCAAATACCTATCTGAAATAGTGACTCATTTAAATATAACAAATGGCACAGTTTTAGAGTTGCATCTTCATTAAGTTATGCTGTGCTAGATGAGGTGTTAAATATTTGGGGAATGCATCACTGTAATGAGAAATAATCCGTAACACAGTTTACATCAGTGATCATGACACATACAGTAGATGTTGCTGAATATCAGATTCTAAGCAGGAGCAATATAAATGAGATTCTTGTATTGACTTGCAAAGTCAACAAGATGTACACTTTTCTGTCAACTCAGTAATATCATTGCCTTTCAATATTGGCATAATGTCCTGACTTTATTGGGCCCACAGTCCCACTGAAAGCAGTTTCCATACTTCTGAAGCTCATCTATACACATTTCACAGTAATTTAATCAGAAAAACCAACAACAAAAAGAGTGTCTCCATTAGCAATTCAGAGGGAAAATTTATTAGTGATAAATGCATTTCCAAAGACAAGAAGCAGCAGACCAATTCAAGCAAAAAAAGTGTTTACCGGATTTTGGGATTTATCCACTTGAGGTTCATTTCTCAGGTGTGTTGCTTCTAGAAGAAATTTAACAGCCCTGATACTAAATCCATCAATGCCTTTCCCAAGCCAAAATTTGATAATATTCTAAACATAAAACGGAAATAATTTTTGATGAGTCAGATATTAATTTACAAATACGGTGAACACAATTATTAAATACATAATACATACTACATGCAGCCATGACTACCCCACGCATTCAAAAGGGACGGGGGACAGGAAAAGCTCCTTGTACATTTCAGAAAGTCACCTTTGATCTGGTCCATCAAAGAATCTAGGCTTTACAGTAATTTGTAAATACCTAATCATGAGGAACAGAGTGAAAAGAAGCTGATTCTGCAGAGCCCCATTGTTGGTATACACTCCTCAAGTCTGCAGACCGAACACATTGTTCTACATAGACTTTTTACGCTGTTTTTCTTTTACACAATAACATTTAATAGACCTGCTCTCTCATTTAACTGATATGAAAAGGATTCAGGTTTATCTTCTGGAAAATGAAAAAAATATTACTAAAGTTAAGGGTTATGGAACTGTGATTTCTTTACCAAAAGGTAAAATTACCTCGTACTTGCATATGCTTATTTTATTACTATCATTTTAATGGTCTTACATTTTAACAGAAGAGTCCAAAGTTTAATCTGACTGTAGCAATCTCTGTAAATGTTACTATGTACTAGACAGCATCTTTCAGCAAAGTAATAAAAACAGATTACACACCAGTCCTATAATTTATTATTATTACATATACAATATTCTTATACCAGCTAGGACTTAAATAAAAAATATGATGGAATTCAACTATTAAAGAGTAAAGATTCACTAAGGCCACATCTCCACTTGCCAGAGGAGATGCTCTGGCAATCAATCAATCAATCTTCTGGCAATCAATCTTCTGGGGTTCAATTTAGCAGGTCTAGTAAAGACTTGCTAAATGGTACATGAGGGCGCCCCCATTGGCACTGGTACTCCTTGCTGTCTGAGGAGTAAGGGAAGCCAATGGGAGTATTTCTCCCATTGATCTTCTGTTGTGGAGACAGTACCAAATTCAGCTTAAGGTACATTAACTCCAGCTATATTATTTACATATATAATATATACATTATATATTATTTACATATATAATCAGTCCTGGCCTGATTGTATTAGGTCAATATATACTCTGTTTTAATGAACTGTTTGTCCCTTCATAGTAATTCTGAAAACTACAGGCAGCCATATTAATTGCCTGTATGGTGATTTCATTAACTGAAAGAAAGGTCTCATCTGAGCACTTAGAATCATAGAACACTTAGAACTGGAAGGGACCTCGAGAGTCCAGTCCCCTGCCCTCACGGCAGAATCCAGTACCGTCTAGACCATCCCGGATGTCTATCAAACCGGATCTTAAATATCACCAGAAATGGAAATTGCACAACCTCTCTAGGAAACTTATTCCAGTGTTTAACCACCCTGACAGGAAGTTTTTCCTAAAGTCCATCCTAAACCTTCCATTGCTTGTCCTCTCCTCAGAGGCCAAAGAGAACAATTTTTCTCCCTCCTCCTTGTGACACCCTTTTAGATACCTGAAAACCGCTATCATGTCTTCTCCCTTCCAAACTAAACGAGCCCAGTTCTTTCCATCTTCCTTCATAGGGCATGTTCTCTAGACCTTTAATCATTTTTGTTGTTCTTCTCTGGACCCTCTCAAATTTCTCCACATCTTTCTTGAAATGCAGTGTCCAGAACTGGACACAATGCTCCAATTGAGGCCTAATCAGCGCAGAGAAGAGTGGAAGAATGACTTCTTGTGTCTTGCTCACAACACTCCTGTTAATGTATCCAGAATCATGTTTGCTTTTTTTTGAACAGCATCATACTATTGACTAATAGTTAGTTTGTGCAGAGCATAAAAAGCTCTCAATTAGAACCAGCACAAAAAACACCAAGGATAGTTTGGGCCATGGAGACAACTCCCTTTATACACAGAGACTGATTATTGGCAAGCCTTGCCAAAGCTTGCACTGTTCCTGCTGTTCTTGTTTGGCTTATCCTCACAGAATGTAAAAGATTTTTGTCACAGAGTAGCCCTGCTCTCCTATTAAGTCAGAAACCATCAACCTTTTGAAATAGAGCTTCATTCTAACACACAGACCTATTGTTTTCTTGTTTCTTAAAATACAGATAGAACTAGTGGTGATCAGCAGCACTTTGAAATGTGTTGGCCTATTCTATTCCAGAGAACTTTTCTGCAGACACTCTAGGATGGGCAGCATTTCCAATTCTCATGACTAACACCCCCTAACAATTTTGGTCTATATTTTTTAACATTTCATTAAAATACCACAAGCACCAACTCATGAACTTTCCCATTGTCTTCTATTACTGTCAGTGGGTCTAAACCCACACTCTGGCTCTCATTTTCCTGTGCACATGAAAGTAAGGGTGTCCTTAAAGTTACTTGCCACCTTCCACTATTTTCAGTGAGGTTGCTACCAGGTCCACAGGCAAAATAAAGCTATCTTTATAATGGGTACGATAATTAGCGTCTTTATTCCAACTCAGGTGTAACGTGTCGAATTTAAGCATGAATGACACTTCCCCAATTATCACCTCTAATATCATTAGCTCACAGACATTTACCTCCCCTCCCCATCCCCCTTCTGTTCTGAAATTTTATTTGTCCTTTTCATATGTGTTCTTTTTTTTTAATTGTATCCTTTGGTATATATGGTTGTGACAATTTTCTTCCACTATTTGATCTGAGGAAGTGGGTCTGGCCCACAAAAGCTCATCACCTATTAAACCATCTTGTTAGTCTTTAAAGTGCTACATAGTCCTGTTTTTTGTTTTATCCATCCACTGACTTTGATCTTTATCTACTCAGGTTTAGCACCCTTTCTTCTGATACTTTATGCATAGAGGTAGGGGGGTGGGCAACAGAACATCTTTCTCCCTCCCCCCCCCCCCCCACACCCGCTCCT